TGGCGTAAACCGACCGCGAAGATGCGTGTAATTGTGCATGTCGTTCATGCGATACGCATCTTGACAATACATATTATATATCAAATCAAATATGAAAAATAAATGGATAGGTTACGAAAGATTAGCTCGACAAATACAGCAAGATTATACTTATTTGCCAAGCCATCTTACATGGACAATGGAAAAGTTTCATAAACTAATCCAAAGTCCTATTTCGCGTAATTTCTGCTTCTAAAAATCTTTAACACTCATTTCCGGTATGTTGAATATATTAAATAAAAGATTAAATGTGCCGTAATTATTGTATCATGACCTATCCATTTTAATGCAACGAATCTACGAGATATATTTAACTGCGATCTACAATCTACAATCTACGATCTACTACCTACAATCTACGATTTACGAGGTGTAGATTCGTTGCCGTAATAAAAAAGTTTCTCACTCACCGACCCGATGCGCAGCAGCGGAGTTTAATTACGATGATTCTGTAACATACAATTAGAAAATTCACATTAAAACAGAGTATTCAAGAAATTTTGTAGATCGTAGTTAAAGAAATATCGAAACTAACTTATAATATATATATATGTAATTTCTCGCATTTTCTCTTCCAATGATTGTATTGTACAACAAGCATGAAAGCAGATACCGTTGCTGTAATCTTGCAGCAGTCTCGCAGCAACATTCCACAATGTTTATGCATTGCTGGAATCGTGCGATGATATGTTGCTACAAAGTTCCTATAATCTTATCTATAATTATAGATAATTATAATTATAGATAATCTGTATATCTGTATTTATTGCTGTAGTGTATGGGTATGCGTATGTACTTATGCAACTTTTGATGGGTAGGGCTTAACATATGTATATAAAAGCATATAACAAAAAAAGACTTATAAACAGGTACATATTGTATAAAACTTACATAACACATGAAATAGTATTTGAGAAGGATTATAGCTCAGTCATTACACTTAAGATAACGTTAACTGGCGTAGTTTATTTCTAATGTGTATAATTTGTTTTACAAAAATTAACTTTTGAGATTGGTTATGCATTGTAAAATACGAAACCATAAACTATAGGAGTGTCCGGGCATTGCGCTAAAAGTGTCTTCTATCTTTGTTCGACATATAGTGAGTGACGAAGATAAACTGATGCTTTCAGTGTTATATGCGTCTTCCCGAACGCAGCCTATATCTATAATTAAATTATATCTATAATTAGGTTTAATCAGCATAATATTAGTGTTATAGTTATATGTATATAAGTGAAGAATGTGCAATTGCGCTTGGCACAGTTCTAGTGAAATAGGCGAAAAGTGCGTCACACAGTTAAACGGTTAAAATATTTTTAACTATTAATTATTATTCTTAAATAAATTAGTATGGCTCATATGTGTTAAAAACAAATTTCAAAGAATTTAAAGGACTCAGAGCCGTGACAGGGTTGCAGTGTCTAAATATTCTATTCTAAGTTTATTGCGAAAAAATATCACCTCGGCCAGGGTTTGAACCTGGACCTCCCTCTCGCTAGGCGGGCGTCTCAACCAATTCGATCACCGAGGCACATATGTGGTCGAATTGGTTCCTTCGTCCCGCATATTTATCTTAAAATCCTGATATATTCAGAAATATAAATATACGGACCTCGCGCTGCGTCAAAAAGTGCAAAAGCAAATGGAAAGCGGAATGTGAAATAAGTTTTTTTAAGTAAATTATATGTTACAATTACTAGAATAATATTATGTTCAGACATCCCGTAGACGCACCGACGTACACATACTACTTTATTTATCTGACAAAACATGACGGAACTCTTGCCACACTTTTTAGTTCAAAGGTAGCAGTCTAGAAGTATATTAGATAGGTATAGTCTACGGGATGTGGTTGCAATACGGGGTACAAAACTGTGAAAGAAAGAGACGAATGATACTTCTGTATCTGTCGCATATGACATCCTCCTCTATCATAGCACACCTTGCAACTAAAAATCGAAATAAAAACGGGAACGTTAAGAGACTCAACCCCCTTCACTGTTGCCTAGACTTGTACGTAAAACCGTGCATGAAGGAAACTTAATTAACATTTTTGTTAGCAACTTGTGCTCACACTGGCTATATGAAAAGTTAAAAACTTTGGTACAAAACATTTTTCGCTAAACTGTTCGTTTCCGAGATAATTCCGAGATAGAGAAGTTTGTAACACTTAAAAAATCTAACCCTGTATGAATATTTAATTCCTGTTGTATCCGAAAAAAGACTCAGAACTGGCAACATAAAAGCAAATTTTTGTGAACTCGTAAGAAAGTTTTTAGAATAGAATTTAGATGGAAAAAGAGTTTATTTCATATTCGAAAATTCAAAAAGAATTTTTTTTGGACACTAATAATTTATTCAATGTTATTTTAACGTTGCAGCAACATAAAGAGTCTAGTTAGAAGAATCGCATAATAGAACGTTAAAAAGATGTTTACACTTCAACATGCAATCTTGCGACGTCTCAGCAATGTTTCAACTTTTTATATTATACGGAATATTCATTCACACCTAGTACTTCGGAAGGAATATACCACCAATAAGAACGATATGACAAACACTAATCACTCTATTCCCTTTTATTACTCCACGAGCAGTGATAGAGAGGAAAATGAGGTCAGTCTCCACTACTTTCCTGATAGCACAGAAAAGTTTCTACAAAGCTTTTCTTTATTTCTAATAGAGAGCAAAAGATGTGCGTGCCGTTTATATTTGGTATACGTATATACGTATATTTCATGTTATGTATTCTTTAAACTTTCGACTCCTCAATAAATATAATTAACTACGGAAAATTCTTAAAAAGTTCTTGGAATATTACATAGCCTCTGTATTTGTTATGCTTTATTTTGTCGATTTTAAAATAAATTAATGAAAAAAATGATAAATTTTAGAAACAAAACCTTTTGCAGATATTATTGGAACCGGTGAGATACATTCTTCAAGTTCCCGGAAAACAAGTAAGAACGAATTTAATAAAAGCCTTCAATTATTGGCTAAGGATACCGGACGACAAGCTCCAAACGATCGATAATGTAACAACAATGATACACACTTCGACCGTTATGTAAGTGTACATTTTGTTACTTCGACATAACAATGTGTTTTGTGTTATTTTCTAATTATATATCTTTCTTATTATTTTTCGGAAAAATTTTTTAGAAATAAACATAGGTAAACAAATATACAAAATAATATAAAATTACATATCAAATATGTACATACATAGTTTTACATAGTATATTTCTATATAATTTTATACAATTCTACATTCTACACAGTTCTATATAATTATAAATTTATACATGTTTTTATATGAAACAATTGTTGTTGCGAAATACTGCTTACTTATAATTACATATAATTGTGCACAATTGTACAAAGTTATATGTATTCTTATAAATGAGCACTTTTTCTCAACTAAAATTTTTTTATATAAAAGCATGCATAAATTTATAACGTATATTACATAGAACTGTGTAGAATGTTTTTAGATTTACATAAAAATATACAATGTAAAAATATGTACGGACATATTAGACGTATAATTTTTTACAATACTATATACATATATTTATCTAAATTTATCTTGTTTTTCGAGGTAATTAAGTAAATTCATAACAAGAAGAAATATTTCAAAAAATCGTCCGTGTTTATATTAATTTGTAAAAATGGAATACTTTTATAAGAATTAACTTCAAGTTTCTTTTATTTTCGTAGGATTGATGATATTCAAGATAATTCCAATTTGCGAAGAGGCATTCCTGTCACACATTCGATTTATGGACTCCCTGACACAATAAATGCTGCAAATTATGTGTCTTTTGTTGCATTGGAACGAATTATTAATTTACTACATCCAAAGGTAAGTAGTGTCGGGCACATTTTTTACGAAGCAATGCTTTGATGTTTTACTTGATTTTAATCCAATAATAATATATGACAATATAAATCAAGATAAAAGATAAAGGTTTCTTTATAAACCTGAAATGGATATTAACATATTCTAACAATATGAACAACTTTGTACGCGTTACGATGTCAGCATTGCAAATAATGATCCCATCGAGAAAATTAATATCTGTATATATTAAATATACAGGGCTTTCGAAAGCCCTGTATATACAAATAATTATAAGTAAAATGAAAAATAAAACATAATATTATCTATAATATAAACTATAATATTATCAGGCGGTGAAAGTGTATATGGAACAAGTACTGGAGTTTTATAGAGGTCAAGGGACGGAGGTCTTTTCGAGAATTAATTTAATTTGTCCAACTGAAGCAGATTACAAGGCGGTAGCAATCAAGAGTAACTACTATTTCTTATACAAACTTTTTCTTATACATAGGAAAATCAATCATAAAAATTTTGAAATTTATTTTATTTTGCAGAGGGTGGGATCATCATCCACTTGGTGCTAAAATTGATGCAATTGGTCTCAACTTATGAAGAAGATTTTTCATTACTAACAAATACCTTTAAAGTATGGTATCAAATACGTGATGATTATTGCAACTTGTGCCTTGATGAAGTAAGTAATAATACTTAATTTTATTTAGTACATTTTTTAATTAACTAAATTTATTTTTGCGGTAGTACACCAACCAGAAAGGGTATTGTGAGGATTTGACCGAAGGGAAATTTAGCTTTCCGATTATCCATGCGCTTACACACAATCCAGACGATAAGGAAATAATAAGTATCCTTTACCAAATGCTATTTTTATTTACTAAACAATATTTATTACGCAATTAACAACATTTTTTCATTTACTGCTGTATGTATATACTTGGAAAGCTTTAATTGTAATTTATTGAGTTTATATATTTCTTTAATGATGCTTTATGAAGGTATTCTAAAACAACCGACAAAGGATGACGAAATAAAACGTTATTGCGTTCAATTATTAGAGAAATATGGTTCCCTTGAATACACGAGAAATGTTATTAAGGAACTGGACTCGATCATGAGGACTGAAATTCAACGTTTAGGCGGTAACCCGCCTTTTGTGAGGCTTCTGGATCAACTCGATAATTGGGATAACAAAAACGTGCCTAAGAATCACTTAGCTGGGACGTCATGAATTTACGATTATCTCTTTTTTGTAAAAACAGCAGAAACCTAGCCTTATACATGCCTTTTTCATAATGTTATACAAGATATTTATATTAAAGGTAAAACAGTCAAGATCCTAGTGAGTAATACTTCGTCGATCTATGTCGAATCGATGTCAAATTGACGTCAATTTGACGATGCATGTCGTTTCGACATCGTTTCGACATCGATCAACAAGTCATTTCTCGCTGGGATATGTTTATATGTATAGGAAATATATATGTGTAACAAAATGTATTTCAAATATATATAATAAAGTTTTGTTATGAGATTTTCGTTCAAAAAACATTTGTAAAATTGTATTAGATATACCCAAGCATTAAAACCGGAAATAAGGTTCGACGAAAGATTTAATAAATATACAGGGTGTCTGACGCAAGAGTACTCTTACGAGAAGTGGTAGTAGATTGTGTCACACTGAGAAGAAAAGTCATGTACCATTTTACAAAATTTGCCATAGTTATCGAATAATTTATTGTGAATTTTGTAAAGTGGCAAATGACTTTCCTTTTTAGTCTGACCCAATCTACCACCATTTTTCGCAAGAGTATTCATTTTTCTCGAAAACCAAGGCTTGTATCAAAAGACGATTTCGAACAAAAGTAGTTTTATTCAAAGGGGGACGTAAGATGGTACCATTGGTTTGACCTTTGGTCAATGTGCCAAGATTATATAAAGTTAAATTTTGTTTTTCTTGTAACTAAACCCTCTATCTTTCGTTAGACATTCTTGTAGCTTATCTCGAGAGCTTTCCAAAACACTAATATACTTAATTTTTGCATCGAATATTTTTCGAGTTATAAGGCTTGAAAGATCGGTGGTTGATCCAACCAATGAAACCGTATTTCTATTGTAGTTGCAATTTGCGACATAGCAGCTCTGTTGTAAAATTACAAGTCATATTCATATCTGACATACAACACGTGACTAATAACGAGTGATATTCGATTCTGATTTACGGCGTATTGTATAACAAGCCTGAGAGCAGACACCGTTGCTGTAATCTTGCAGCAATTTCGGTGTAACATTCCACAATGTTTATGCATTGTTGCAATCGTACGATTATATGTTGCTTCAAAGCTCCTGCAATATTATCTATATATAACTATTTATAATTATGGATAATCTATATATCTATAATTGTTACTGTACTGTATGGATATCCGCATGCACTTACGCAACTTTTGCTGGGTAGCGCTTAACACATATAAACGCATATAACACAAAAAGACTCATAGACAGGTACGTATAACACTTACATACCACATGGAATTGTATTTGAGAAAAATTATAGTTCAGTCATTATATTTAAGATAACGTTAACTGGAGTAGAAGTTTATTTCTAATGTGCACAATTTGTTTTACAAAAATAAAATTTTAAGATTGGTTCTGCATTGTAAAATACGAAACCATAAACTATATCTATAATTAAGTTACATATATAATTAAGTTTAACAGCACAATTATCGTGTTACAGTGATATATAAATGAAGAGTGTGCAAATTGCGCTTGTCACAGTTCTAGTGAAAGAAGCAAGAAGTACTATCGCACTCGACACAGTTAAATGGATAAAATATTTTTATTTATAACGTTTGTTACATTACTTTTAACCATTGTACCATATCAGCAAGGTCATTGGGTAAATTTGATTTTATTTTATATTTTTATTTCTATTTCTATGTAATTAGGAACGTTCAACCTCGACGCGCACACCTTGCGTAATGCTAATGCTCGCGGCACTGCAACTTTCAAACCTCGTAAGTCGGGAAGTATTTAATGAAAATTAATTTAATTATGTGTTTTGTAAGCTCTCGAGATAAGCTACAAGAACATGTAATGAGAAATATGGAGTTCCATTTAAGAAATTGAAAGTGACCTGCATGTGATCTATAAACGACTATCCCGAATCAAACAAATGACACCATCTTATTTCTCCCTCGAAGTTAAAAACTTTTGTGCGAACCATTTTTCGTTAAAATGCTTTGTTTTCAATACATAAGTTGTTTTGAGACATAACTTTAAAAACTCACCCTGTATGTATATTTAATTCCTGTTGTATCCGAAAAAAAAGTTCAGAATTGGTGACATAAAAGCGAATTCTTTGGAACTTGTAAGAATGTTTTCAGAACAGAAATAAGATCGAAAAAGAACCAATTTCATATTCAAAAATTCAAAAAGAAATTATTTTGAACAATAATAATTTATTCAATGTTATTTTAACGTTGCAGCAACTTAAAGAGTCTATATAGAAGAATCATATAATAAAACGTTAAAAAGATGTTTGTACTTCAACATGCAATCTTGCGACGCCTCAGTAATGTTTCAACTTTTAATATTGTACGGAATATTCATTCACACCTAGTACTTCGGAAGGAATATACCACCAATCAGAACGATATGACAAACACCAATCACTCTATTCCCTTTTATTATTCCACGAGCAGTGATAGAGAGGAAAATGAGGTCAGTCTCTACTACTTTCCTGATAGCACAGAAAAGTTTCTACAAAGCTTTTCTTTATTTCTAATAGAGAGTAAAAGATGCGCGCCCCACATTTATATTTAGTATGTGTATGTATTATATGTATGTACTGAAAAGGAGGCTGGACCAAGACGACGATTTTTTTATAATCAATAACTCGTTAACTATTGCGAAAATTGCAAAATAGTAAGAACTTTTCGTCTCAGTTTTGTCAACTCTATCTATACAAAAATTCTCTATCTATACATTTTATGTATTCTTAAATTCTCAAATCCTCACTAAACATAATTATCTTTAAAAAATTCTTGAAAATTTAAAAACTTCCTGGAATATTAGATTAGACTCTTCGCTTGTTATGCTTTATTTTGTCGATTTTAAATTTAAGTGGAAAAAATAGGCAAATTTGAGAAGTGGAACCTTTTGCAGAAATTATTAGAACCGATGAGATATAGTGTTCAAGCTCCCGGAAAACGTATAACAACGACAGATTTAATAAGGGCCTTCAATTATTGGCTAAGGATATCGGACGACAAAGTCCAAACGATTAATGATATATCAAGAATGGTTCACCATGCGAATGATATGTAAGTGTATAGTTTGTTACATCCACATAATGGACTATTTTGTGTCTCTTTCTAATTTCACATCTTTCTTATTATTATCCCTAAACAAATTTTTATGCATAAATATAAATAAATATATAGGAATTATATAAAAATATATATCAAATATGTCCATACATATTTTTACATTATATATCTCTGTATACAATTTTATACAATTCTACATTCTACGCAGTTCTGTATAATTTTATAGATTTATACATGCTTTTATATGAAAAATTTTTTAACGTAAAATATTAATTATTTACAATTATATGTATATAATTGTATAATACATATAACTTTCTACAATTATATGTATATAATTGCTTATTTATAATTATACATATAACTTTCTACAATTATACATATAACTTTCTACAATTATATACATATAATTGTAGAAAGTTATATGTATAATTATAAATAAGCAATTATTTCCCGTTTAAAAAATGTTCCATATAAAAGCATGCAGAAATCTATATAAACGCCATGTAACCCTAAGGGGATTCAATAAATCAACTACTAAAAAAAAAAATAAGAAGAAATATTTCAAAGAATCGTCCGTATTTATATTAATTTTTAAAAATTGAATACTTTTATAAGAATTAACTTTTATTATTTTTGCAGAATAGATGATATTGAAGATAATTCCATTTTGCGAAGAGGCATTCCCGTTGCACATTCAATTTATGGAATCGCTAACACAATAAATGCTGCAAATTACGTAACTTTTATTGCATTGGAACGCGTTCTTAGTTTACAACATCCAGAGGTACGTAATGTCAAGCACATTTTTTACGAAGCAATACTTTGACTTTTTATCTGATTCTAATGTAATAATGATATATGACAATATAAATAAAAATAAAAGATAATGATTTTTTTAATAAACCTTAAATGGATATTCTTACAATATGGACAACTTTGCAAGCGTTACGATGGCAGCATTGCAAATAATGATGTCATCGTGAAAATTAATATATGTATATTAAATGTTAAATTCATATACAAATAATTGCAAATTAATTAGAAAGTGAAAAGTATAAAAGTATAATATTATCAGGCGGCAAAAGTGTATTTGGAACAAGCACTGGAGTTTCACAGAGGTCAGGGAATGGAGATCTTTTGGTCAACTCATTGTATCTGTCCAACTGAAGCAGATTACAAGACCATGATAATCAGAAGTAACTACTATTACTCATACAAACTTCTCTTAAATATACAATACAAAACTGTATACAAAACTCATTCGTAAAATATTTTAAATCAATTTTATTTTGCAGAGGGTGAAGTCTTCTACTTGGCGCTAAAATTAATGCAATTGTTCTCAACTTGTAAAGAAGACCTTTCGTTAATAACAGATACCTTTCGATTATTGTTTCAAATAAGTGACGATTATTGCGACCTGTGGCTTGATGAGGTAAGTGATAACACTTAATTTTATTTAATAAATTTTTTAATTAACTAAATTTATTTTTGTGGTAGGATACCAAGAATACAAGTTATTGTGAAGATTTGACCGAAGGGAAATTTAGCCTTCCGATTATTCATGCGCTGACAAACAATCCGGACGATAAGGAAATAATAAGTATCCTTTACCAAATGCTATCTTTATTTACTAAAAAATATTTATTACGCAATTAACAACATTTTTTCATTTACTGCTTTATATACTTGGAAAGCTTTAATTGTAATTTATTGAGTTTATATATTTCTTTAATGATGCTTTATGAAGGTATTCTAAAACAACGGACAAAGGATAACGAAATAAAACGTTATTGCGTTCAATTATTAGAGAAATATGGTTCCTTTAAATACACGAGAAACATGCTTGAGGAACTGGACTCGATCGCGAGGGCTGAAATTGAACGTTTAGGCGGTAACCCGCATTTTGTGAGTATTCTAGATCAACTCAAGAAATGGGATGTCAAAAATGTGCCTAAAAATTCCGTAGCTGGAACGTCTTAAATTTACGTTTACATATTTGTTTTTGCAAAAACAACAAAAACGTAGCCGTATACTTTTTTCATAATAATAGTATACATGATAATAATATTAAGACAAACGGCCAAGATATGATTATATAGGATTATATAGAAAAGATATATGGATAACAAAATGTTTCAAAAATATATAATAAAGTTTTGTTTGTTGTAATTTTCGCTGGACACACACAGACGTACATATACTACTTTATTTACCTAACAAGATATGGCGGTGCTCGTGCCTTCACTTTGTAGCTCGAAGCTAGCAGTCTAGTCCCAGCAAACACAAAAGTAACAGTTACATAACTGTAAGTTAAAATTTCCTACTCAACAATATAACTGTTATATAACACGTGTGTTATGTAACAGTTATATTGTTGAGTAGGAAATTTTAACTTACAGTTATGTAACTGTTACTTTGTGTTTGCAAGGGTAGTATACATATAGAAGTCTGTGATCCCGATAAACGATCCCGATCCAACTTCCGCAAATTAGGGTCGGAGCACAAAGCAACGTAATAGCGTATGACAAAGACGTAAGCGTAAACGTAGATTATCGCACAAGCTTTGGCGTAAATATAACGTCATATGTAATTGGAGGTAAGTACGGCATACGCCAAAGCTTGTACGCTGACCTACGTTTAGATTAATATTACATTTGTCGTGCGAGAAATTTTTTAAGCGTGTCGACTGGCTGCAGAATAGATAGTTTCTAGAGACTCAAGAATTTTTCTATTCAGCAGCCAATTGGCATGCTTGAAAAATTTGTCGTACGACAAATGTAATTTTAGGCTAAGGCTAGTAAAGGAGACGCAAGAAAGTGATCTATCACAGCCCTAATAGCACAGAAATATTTTAAAAGGTTAAATATATTTTAAAATCTTTTTAAAATACTTTATAAATATTTTAAAATACATTGAATCTTTTAAAATATTTCTGTGCTAATAGGGAGTCGAAAGTGAAGAAAATAATTGACTGTGATTGGTAATTTTCTTGAATCTTACGTCCTAAAGATCTCATTGTAGACGCCGTATTACGTCTACGAGTCAGACAGTCGTAAGAATTTACGGACACAGATTAGATAGATCGCCAAAGGCCCGTGTCCAGGCGAGACCAGCATTTTCGTGCTCTGATTACCGACACACTTTGCCCCTAGGTGCGAGTCTGGACTAAACGTATCCGATTTTACCGGCAGATTTTGCCCAGGGCAATACGTAAAATTATTAACAAGATTCGGCCCGAGATATGTATAACGGTAATAAGAATGGCAGGATTGTGTCGTAAATTTTATTTAGATCTACGTGGACCGTTTCTGTACATTACTTACGCGTACCTTTTCCACGAAACAATATTTTACGAATGCTCGCGTGAATCGTTAGTACGGTCGAGCCGATTAGACAGAAAAGCGAATAAGAACAATCCGCGGGAACGAAGTTAACGCAAGAATAATGCATAAATAATTGTACTCACCAGAGGGTTGCTCCGCCGTTGCCCGACGCCTCCCAGGCCGCCGCTTCCTCTCAGATTCCTCCATTTCGCACTGGCAAACGGCACAACACAGCACTACGCGATACTCGCGAAAAAGAAGCTAATATCCAAGTAACACGCGACACGGCACTCCCGGCGTTAACCGACGCGAGCTGCTCCGTCACAACAAGACCGAGAAAAAGATACAATCGCGGGCGGGAATACGAGCCGCCACGACGACGTCGCGCGAAATGGCGGGAGGACGTTCCGGCGAAAAGGACTCCGAGACACGCGAGAGGCTTGACGCGTATCTCGTAACCGAACGCGAGCGTTCAACGGGGCACCAACATTCTCGGGTATTTCCACACGCGAAGAGACGTGCGTTAAAGTTCGAGCTCGGTATACCCGCGGCGAGGATCCGGCCGCGCCAACGATCCCGGCCGGGGGTTCTCGCGAGATTTACGCGTCTCGGTGGATCGCGTGGGTATCGAATAATCTACGCCGCGACCGCTCAACTAGATCAGCGTTACTCACCACCGTCGCGGAGAGCGTCGCGAGAATTGTGTCTCGACGACCGTCGGCGCGGGAGACCGCGCGGTCCGCTGCGTGTCCGCACTCCGCGACGCGACTTCTCGAACAGGCTAACATGGCGCCGGTACCCGGCGGCCCCCACGCCACTGCGCGACACTACGCGAGTCGAGTCAGCGACGCGACTTGAGTATCCACTTATCACTTATCACTCGCGCAGTGTATCGCGAATGAACGCGTAAATTCACGTGCTTTTTTATTGATGAACAATCGACGAACTCGCGGCTTTCCTCTACTCGAGTTACATCGGAGAGATAGCGAGCGCGAACGGTAGACGGCGATTCGACGGTCCGCCTCCCGTATCTCCAAGTGCACGCTGAGAGAAACGAAGACGACGTCGATAACACGATCGCGCACATAATTGTCCCGTGCCATTCGTACGATCGCGACGGTTCGAATGACAATGCGACGCACGTCTACCTCGGCGCGGCTCGCCGCTTGTTCGTCCCGAGCCGCCGCGGCCGCAGCTTGTTTTTCTCGAGCCGCCGCGGCCGCTGAATGCCAAGGTCGACGTATCATACGTACGTTCCGTGCGCCGCGCTATTCGAACCGCCGGAACGTCGTACGCGGGCGAAATATTGTTAACAATAATTATACGTTTTGCCCTGGGCAAAATCTGCCAATAAAGTCCGATACATTAGTCCAGACTCGCACCTGCCTAGTGGAAAAAATGTCTATAAATAACTACAAAAAATTGACTTGAAATGGAAATTTGTAGAAATTTTTGTATCTTCGTTGAAACGTTAATTTTTTTGTAAAAATATCTACGAAATAGTACCACAAATTGCAATGTTCTCAAATGAAGAAATTATTGCAAGTAGTATTTCACGAAAATGTACAATTTTGTAAAAATTAGTACAAAACTTTACTAGTTGTGAAAATTTGAGAAACAACAAGATCTTAAAGAATTAAACCATCTGCTTACTTGTAGAATATTACCAAAATTAGCAAAAGTGTTCCAATTCTAGCATTTTCACGTTGATTTTCTCGTAACACTTTTCAAATTTACGTAGATTCTGGCAGTTATATTTAAAACTTAGAATATACAATCAAACATTTTAGACATGGGCTGCGTTCTGCAGAAAAAATTGCTCAGCAAGTGCTTCGCGCTGATTGGGTTATACTTTTAGATCTGTGCTGATGGAACTATTATTCTAAATTAATCCAATCAGCGCAAGCGCTCACTGAGCCACTTTCTCCGCTGAACGTGGGCCAATGTCTTCACATCATTTCACGCGTGAAAATTAAAATTGAGTAATTGAGATTTTTATAACTGAGAGAGTTAAAGTACATCATTTTCGACGAATGAGAAAGAGTTTAAAAGAACAAAACTCATCATAAATCAGTAGATACAATTTTCACGGGATTTAATATCGGACACAATGTTTTTCCTATGAGGATTGGGCCCCTGTACTTGCAATTTATAAATATCTCTTAACCATCTCTCTTAGACTTATTTCGATCTTACTGCACTAAAAAGGCACATATTTCCGCACCTGATACAAACGTTATTACAATCTAAACGCTAATGATCTTCCTTTCTTCTTTTCTCCACTCCTCTGATGTTTGCCGTCCCAGTGCCAACTACGC